ACTGGAGCAGAACATTGGAACAACTAATTTGAAGAAAGAACTCATTGAAGTGCAGTTTTATTAACAAAATCTGTATGCTCTGTACTTTTCCCCCCAATAGGGCGGTGCCATCTCCATCCTGACGGCCTGTGAGAGACCCAGTGATTTTGCAGGAGTGGTCCTGATAGCGCCGATGGTCCAGATGAGCCCAGACTCGGCCACACCGTTTAAGGTACCACATCCACCCATCCTCTAAACCTTTCATTGTCCTTCTCTCCACTTCTAACCCGAGAGTGGCTCGTCGTACTGCACTCAGGCCTCTTGTGGATGATGACTTCAACGCTGACACCTTTCATTTTGTGTGTTTCGAGGGCAAGAATCAGTGCAAGTAGCACTCAGGCGGGATTAGCTGTGTCTTACTGACTCACTTACTGACAAAAGTGTGGCTCACTTCCAAGGCCAAACACTGACTCCACTGTTGAAGAGGAGACTTCTTCTTATTAACGAGAAGAAAAGTGTTCTTGAATCCAGCACTGAAACAATAGAAACACTCGCAGACAAACGGAGCTGTATTTCTTTGTCACACTAGCAGAAAGGCTTTCTTCATGACGGCGTTGCTGTGCTGTTGCTCAGCGTGTCGTGTTCTTTCTTTGCAGATTTTCCTGGCCAAGATCCTGAACCACATGCTGCCCAGCCTCACCCTGGGCTCCATCGATTCCAAATGGATTTCACGAGACAAGAAGCAGGTGAGAGACACGTACCGGCGGGTGTGTGTTTGGACGGTCGGTCTGTAATTGAAAAATCAGATCTGGGTGTCGCAGAAAAACAGAAGGTCCCAAGGGGGAGATGTGCGTGACACTTATGTGAAGTCATAGAGTTTTTGGACAATCCCAGGATGAGAGACTTCTGTCCAAGGTTGTTGTTGTGCAGCGTGATGGGTGGGTTGTATTGTGTTTTCTGTAATTATGTTAACAGGCTACAACTAGAATGTCACCTACAGGAAAAAGCGACAGAACTGTGCACACCCACGTTATCTTGTGCAACGTCTAGACTAAGAACAAGAGACAGAAACTGACTTTCAGGCAGGTCCACATACCTCTATTCGCACGTATTCGTGTCTGGGGATGCATTTTTGCACCGTTGTGGTTACGTGAGTGCACCGTCTCACATACCACCACTTCTGCCTCTTATAGCCACAGTGGGAGGTTGTGTTTTAGCGGGTACAGCAACAGGTAGACACAGTAGAGCAATATAGACCTCAATGAAACACTGACAGGAACACAGTGCTTTTAAGATCAAAAGTAAGACGAGATGTATATTTGACACGAGGGACTAAAGGTTGTCTTGTTGTAAAAGGTCATTTTACAGCCAGGAACTGTGTCTGCTTTCCTTTTAAGATTCAAGAGTTTTTGTTTGTCACATGTT